GCAACTGGTCTACCACAGAAAGAAATGGCAACCTACTACGGGAAAAATCTGCTTCGCAGTCATGTATCGAAAGCTACATGATCGCATGATACATAAGTGACTGATTACATAGCATGATTTTATTCGCTTTTTTGTTTCTTTCAAAGATGTCTTCATTATTTTCCAATTTTCCAGTTAAAAAGTATTTACTACATCTTTAGTAATAATAAAGAATTTGTGTTGAATCTTTTTTCTTCTTTTTAAATCCAGTCAATGCCTTTCATCGTTGTAATGTGACTATTACTGAATTGAGTTCAGTCACTCTTAGAGTAAACCCAGCTGCAGATAACTAATGTATTTTGCTGTCTAGGTATTTCCCCAATACCTTCCAAGAAGGCGGGATGTGGCAAAAGACCGCTTTTTTTTCCCATTCCGATCCCTTAATTCCCGTACACCCCGTATACACTCGATCGGGTAACTGTTTAACTCCTAAGACGAGACTTTGCTCTTCGGGGTAAACTCGTCTGGGTCCCTGTCTGCCCAAAGGCAGAGAGGTCGAAAAGTAGGGTATGAGCAAACACAGAGGTTAGGCTGACTGTATTTACATAAGTCCTCCCGACAAGGAGGTATGTGCCACAAGGCAGGTTTTATTTTATGTTCCTCCCTGCTCAAAGGCATAGTGATCGACAGGCAACGTAACCCAAACTCAGGGGTTTAGCTCACTCGCTATTTACACAAGCGGGATATGGCACAAGGCAGGTTATTTTACGTGGGATATTCCGAGCCCGTAGGCTCCGAATACACGGGGTCGGGTAGCTGTCTGCCGCCTCAGACGAGACTCTGCATTTCGGCATACCTTCGTCTGGGTTTCTACCTTCCCGAAGGTAGAGAGTTTGAAAAGCTAACTATTGTCAAGAGGTTTGGCTGACTCCTCTAGTAGCCCGTCCTGGGTATAACGATAAACTACGTCCTATAGCAAGGCCTCTGATCAGGGGATTTTGAGAAGCTTGGAAACCCCCCTTTATTTGCTAGTGTTCCCAGATCCACCCTGACCCAGGGTGGTAGCACCTCTTAGGGTCCCAGCTATGGGCAAATAGTTAACATCCAAATTTGGGTCAAAATACTATGAAAGTATAAAAATAGGTTTTTCATACCAGAAATACTTTGTAAAAAAAATTACCAGCAATAATTTTTTGAAGGAAAAATTATCATCAGCAATACTTAAAAAAATTTAACAGCAATACAAACAGCTATACATTTTTTGAAAAAAATATTGCCAGTTATACATTTTTTGAAGGGAAAATATTCCTAGAAATAGATTTTGTAAGAAAAAAAATATTACCTGAAATTGATTTTGAAAACAAATATTACCAGCAATAAAAATTGTTGCCATTAAATAACCGTTTCAGGTTGATATACCGTAAAACAAACTAAACTGGGTTCAAAACTGTGAAAGTGTAAAAAAATAAGTTTTAATACCAGAAATACTTTGTAAAAAATATTACTAGCAATAAATTTTTGAAAATATAGATAAAAGTATATTTGTAAAAAGACAATATGAATAAAGACAAAATGAAAATTTTTCTTTACGAATGTGTTTCGTCATTTGATGGATTTTATCACTGCAATTGGCGTCATAAAGTCTATCAGAGGATGAAACGTGTTGATAAAGAAATGTTTTCCTTTTGTCTTTATTCATAATTAAATATAAATATACTTAGGTAATAATCCTTCATAATATATATCTGATTACAAATAGAGACAAGGGTTAAAAAATGACTTTGTCCATCCTGTATCTATAGGAAATAAGTTATTTTATGTAAGAATGAAAGAAAAAAGATTTTTGAAACGATGGCTTGAATGTTTTTAGTTTTTAATTTTAACTCAAACACTAAATACAAAGTTTATAGTAATAATAAAATAAGAGAAAAAAGTAACACTTAAGCAAGATGATAAGAAAAAAGAAATTTAAAAAAAGTAAGAATAATCGTTTGTAAGACAGGGAAGCACGTGTTTTGGCAAAATTTATTATGAAAAGCAAATCTAAACAAATTTATGCGAAAACGAGGCTGTGACATTTCGAGAAAGCCTTCAAATGAGGAAGATAGATGGCTTTGCCTATCACTGGCGATATTATTCAATATCGATAGCTCGCTATCGATCATCTCTGTTTATCTCATTAATTTATTATATCTCATTTCTTTGGATGCTAATCTAACGTCTTTGTGTGAACACACGATGTTTAAAAGTCTTTAAATGGAAGGTATATTTAGCATATATCTTCGACACGATAACCAGAAAACAGAATCGGCATTCTATAGAATATTCCCCTTTTACTTTTTGTCACTGTTTATTTCGATTTATGTGCGTCAAAATATACCGATGAATTGTCTATATATTTAAATGCAGATGTGAGTTTATACTGCAAATATGCTGAGCAGACCTTAGTTACAATTTCATGGACATTATGTTACGCTATCTAGCGCGATCAATAGTCTCAACAAGGCCAGCACGCTCAAACTATCTAACAAAAACGTCCCTCAAGGATTCTGTATACCCAATTCATTCACAAGGCTTGGGTCAGTGGATGGGTGGTGCTATAGTTTTCAGGCATTTTACAAAGGTGATCACCTCCTTCAGATCGATAATATCAAGAAGTTACCTTCCTGACATCGGTCAAGGTGAAAGTCTTACGAATTGACCATGGAGAAAGTCATACCGTGTCTCGTCGAACGTTATCTCGAGAGCACCTCTTTACGGCTGCTCGGTCTCACATTGACTGCTGACCTGAGATGGAACAAATACATTGAGTGAATTGCTTCGTCCACCGCAAGGAAAGTTTTTCTCCGGAATCGATCCTTCAAATCTACAAATCAAACATTCACCCTTGCATGGAGTGTTGTCGCCATGTATGGTCTGGGGCCCATTCTGTTTACCTCGGTGTTCTTATTAAGATACAGAGAGGGATATGCAATGTAACTGGCCCTTATCTGGCATCTCGTCTGCAGTCGCTCTCTCACAGACGTGCCGTCGCCCCTCTCTGTCTTTTTTACAAATACTTTCACGGTAATTGCTCTGATGAGCTGCATTCACTGGTTCCCAGACTTCATGAATTCAAGCGTCTTACGAGGCTGGCATTCCGCTCTCATCCTTTCACTGTTTAAACTGTTAAATATAGCCGTCTCTTCTACTCCAATAGCTACATATCTCGCACCTCTCGCCTGTTGAACTCGCTTCCCTTTTCCTGTTTCCCTGATAGCTATAATCTCCAACTATTCAAATGTAATATCAATCGACACCTCCAGTTGCCTTGATCTATCCGCTATCCTTCTCCTCAACCTTTCCTCTATCACTCCTATCTGCTCTCGCTCCAAATCCTCTGTAACCCCTTGCATGCTAGTTGCTTCCCGCCTTGCTTGGGGTTGAATGCTTAAAAAAAACAAAAAAAAAATACTTGGCCACGTGCCCATATAATATATATACTCTTTAAGTTTTTAAGAACATTTTCCTGTTTCTTGATACTTTGTTTATTTTTTGTAAGGCAGCTTTTGGATGTTACATTTTCCGCCATCTGATAAAATACTTACCAGATATTTAAATTTCTGTTTGATTTCAATATCCCCAATTCATAGCTCACATCTTTGCCTTTTTCTCTTGCTAATATCCATATATTTGGTCATGTAATATTTTTTTATTGCTTTCGTTTAGTATATTGTCTAAGATGTCGTTTAGTATATTGTCTAGTATTTCGTCTACATATCTTATATGCGCCCACGGATAATAAATCCTGATAGGATCTCCAACTCTAAGAGGTTGAACAAATAAGGTGAGAAGACACACACACTTATCTAACGCTCTTTACTTTATTCTTAGGCTGCTAAGAAATTTAACTCACTATGTCGTACTAGACAATTTTTCTCTCCTCAAGATATTCACTAACCGCCCACCCGGTTTGATATGGCACAAGGCCGAGTTTATTGTGGGGTATCCGAGCCCGTAGACTCGGCCAAAAATTCCCCATAGAGCCCGTAAAAAAGCGAGTCTCTGCCCTTCGGCATAGCCTCGTTTGGGTTCCGCTCTGCCCGTAGACAGAGAGTTTGACAAGCATACTCACCAGAATCTATCTTACATATGTATTCGTCCATGCTTAGAATATTAGTGTCACATATGGTCAGGTGGCACTGCGATTTACCTTGAGCTCCTTGATAAAACCCAAAGAAGAATCTGAAACATTATCGGCCCTGACCTAGCATCTCGGCTTTAGTTACTTTCCCACCACTGTAAAGTTGCCACTTTGTGTCTTTTCTATAAATATTTCATGTTATTTGCTCGGATGTACTCTTTGCTATAATATCTAGAGCTTATGAATATAAGATTAGTACTAGACTGGTGACGTGGTCTCATCAATTTACAGTTGAACTGTCTAGATGTAGCCGGAAGTTCTATGCTAACAATTTCTTTTCTCACACTTCTTACCTGTGGTACTCTCTTCCAACTTCTTTCTGCCCAATCAAGTTTGAACTTCAAAAATTCAAATGTAATGTCAATCACTATCTACTATCTTTCTGATTATTTTTCTGTTATCTTCGTTCCTTAGTAATATTTATGTTTTCTAATTCTTCCACGCCCAGTAACCCTTTGTGCCTTAGTGGCTTTACTGACTTGCTTGGGGTGAACTCGATAAAAAAAAAAAAAAAAAAACTTTCCCGGTTTATTTTCTATCCAGGTAAACATGGTTTGTTCCCAATTATATTTCTTAGTTATTTTAACATATTTCCCAATTAAATCAGGTTATCTAGCAGTTCTATGAAATACTTGTTCCATACTCTATGAAACATAGGTGTATAACCATCACTGTTTATATTGTTCGTCCCAATATAATTCGGATCATGAATGCTATATTTATTGTTCCAGTTTTCTAAACCAGGAATAGTTACTTAAATATCCTGATCTATTTCTTTTAATACAAACGACAAAGCCAATATGGGAAGAGGCAGGTTTGGATTAGAATTTTATACACATCACATCACGGGCATTAAAGTAAAGATCGAGAGAGAAAAAAAATGAACGAATGAGGTGACATTTTCTGGTAGCGAAAAAGAATGAATATCGTGAAAGAATGGAGTTGCGTTTTCTGTAAATTCTATAGAAGAGATATTGTTCTAGAAAGAAAGACTAAATGCAGAACATTAGATAAAATATCAAGAGAAATGATTTAGAAAACAAGAGAAAAATTAAACATTGACAAAGAAACGAAATGGATAGAGAAGTATTGCGAAAGGATAGAAAGAAGGAAATTAATAAAGAAAAGAAGAAAAATTATGAAAAGAAAGAAAGATTAAATTACAAGAAAGAAAAATTACGAAAAGAAAGAAAAATTACGAAAAGAAAGAAAAATTACGTAAAGAAAGAAAAATTACGACAAAAAAAAGAAAAACTGCGACAACAAAGAAAGAAAAATTACAAAAAGAAACAAAGAAAGAAAGAAAAGCTACGAAAAAATGAAGGAAAAAGTAAGAAAGAAAAAATACGGAAAGAAGAAAAGAAAGAAAAAATATAAAGAGAAAGAAAGAAAAATTACGAAAAGAAGGAAGAAAGAAAAATACTAAAAGTAAGAGAGAAAGAAAGAAAAATACGAGAAAAGACGGAAAAAGAAAAGAAAAGAAAAAACGAAAAGAAAGAAAGGCAGAAAGAAAAAAAGCGAAGTATGAAGCAATTTACAGAAAATGTACACTTTTTTTTTTTATTCGTTTTCTATCAATCCAGCAATCTAGGTTTTGAATACCGAGTTTTATGGGTGGCATGTTTTCTTTGGATATCTTTTTATTGACTTTAGTCATTCATTTGAAATTTGAAACGATATTGGTCCCAAGCAAGATGAAATCGAAACACAGTCAATCCGACACGAGAATAGAAAAATTTAAGAAAATGCAAGAAAAAAAAAAAGCTCATAAAATCAGAATTGAAATCAATACTGACTAATGCATTTGTAAAAGTGTAGAACATGTGGCCAAAGCTGTGTTAACAAACATCCGAAAATTTATAAGAAAAGAAAAATAAATAACCAGGTTAAAAAAAAAGAAAGGAAAAACAATTTTATGATATGAAGGTAACATTTTTAGCAGCAATCGTACTTAGCATGAAAATAGTTGTCCAGATTCGAATGTCGGTTTTTATTGGGGAGGGAGAGAGGGGGAGAGAGAGAGAGAGAGAGTGTGTGTGTGTCCCCGTATTTCTTAAATATTGAAATTGGCACCTACCGGTCTGTGCCCTTGAAAGTCTAATTGAATAAAATGTGTTCTCGGCAGGGACCGAACCGAATAAAAAAGAAAGAAAAAAGAAAGAAAAATACGAAAAGAAAGAAAAAAAGAAAAATATAAAAAAAGAAAAAATACGAAAATAAAGAAAGAAAGAAAAAATACGAAAACAAAGAAAGAAAGAAAAAATGCGGAAAGAAAGAAAAAAAAAGAAAATAAAGAAAGAAAAGAAAAGAGAGAAAAGAGAGAGAGAGAGAGAGAGAGAGAGAGAAAATGTCCCCGTATTTTTTAAATATTGAAATTGACACCTAACGATCTGTCCCACGAAAGTCAAATTGAATAAATTGTGTTCTTGGCAGGGATCGAACCGAGAAAGAAATAAATAATCCTGGATTGAAAAAAAGAAAAGATTAATTTAATAAATTTGTATTTTAGTCGTGCTTCCTTTTTTTTCTCTTCCTCATATTTTCCTTTTTTCGTAGTGCGAATTGTTATTTTGTCAATGTACTATTTACCAACGTTTTGTTCTGACGAAGTGTTGGTTGGAAAGGCTTCTTAAAGAAGAATGTTTTCCTTCATTTTCAAACACACACACACACACACACACACACACACACACACACACACATATATATATATATATATATATATATATAATCACGTTTCTACCATCACCAAATGACTTTAGGCAATATTAAATAGAGTAACGTGACTTCCCGCTTTGATTTTTTTCTGGAAAATAACAAACGAGAATAGAAACCCCACTATTACCTGGGACTACGTAACGAAAGCTAAACCCTTTTAATGGGAAGGGCGATAAATGTAGCATATGCCTTTCTGAGAAGTTAATGATCCTAAAAATACAATCAACACAAGTATGTTAAACAGAAGAAGCGAGTTAATGAGCAACTGCTTACACAGGAGAAAATTCCTACGAAAGAACGATGACCCAGATTAATATAGTTGTTCCAGTCTCAGACACCACGGATACTGGTTTTGATGTTTTAGTATTATCTATTTTTACATGTAACCATTATTTTTATTTTTATATTATTTTTGGTTTTACGATTATCAGTACTATCTTTATTATTATTATTTTTATTTTTATACTATTATACCTTTACTTTTCTCATGATTTTATCACTACAAATCGGTTTCTTTGTATTATTTTTTATTCATTTACCGTCAACTATTTTTAAGCAATAAAAAAAAAGAGATAATCATCTTGATCATTAAACTTACTTAAATAACAACGTCCTTTTTTAAGGAAAATAAAAATATTATAATTAGGATATCTAAATATTATTTTCAATCTTAAATGTAAGTTTGAGCCAAATTCAAATTCCAGATTAAGATATATTGCAATTAAATATTTAAGAACAGTAATAATTTATTCAAGCAAAAACATATCTCGAGAGACCCAATAGTATTAACTAAAAGGTATTAACCAAATTTAAATTAATACCCGATGACTGCATAGAGCATGACACTCCGAGTTAAACTGCCGGCCTGTAAAATTATGCATATTTATTAATATTTACTTAATAGCTCTGTTATTTAACACTGAGTACTGTTTTTCTTACATTAAAGGATATATATATATATATATATATATATATATATATATATATATATATATATATATATAGGTTCCAAAAAATTTCGTTTGAGGATGAAATAGTGCTTGATACTTTAATTCAATTTAATTTCTATAATTATATTGAAGTTTTTTGGCTCTTGTTTTTGAAACATGAGAAATCTTTATGTATGAAGGAATCATATTTTAAAAAAAGTAATTATATTTTAGGCTCTACTTTTCAATTGAGCACTGTTTTTAAAAAAAACTAAAAAAAAAAACTAAAGAACTTGGATTATTTACCTAAGGTGTTCTTTCCTATTTTTTCTATATATTTCCACACACACACACACACACACACACACACACACACACACACACACACACACACACACATACTGACACGTACATTTATTTGTATTTATCCATTTGAGCATATATATATATATATATATATATATATATATATATATATATATATATATAATTTTTATTATAAGACATTATAATAAAAACAGGTTGAAATCGCAGTGCAAAAACTTTCATGTTTTAAACTCTGATTGTACTTCTTCAGGGGATAGTAAGTAAGTGTTGATTAAATGATTTTTAAGAAAATATGTTACTTCCTTTCCAAAAGTTAAAGGGAGTGGGGAACATAAGATCCAAATTAAAACTTGACTTGTGGTTTAACTGATTAACTTTTAAATTTAGGATTTACATATGGTTGCGTATATCGGTGTTTTTATGGAAGCGGCAGGTAAAATTGTCGTCGAGACGCCACTCAATCCAACGTCGTGACGCTACACAATCCAACATTGAACACAGCGACCAAATGCGTACGTAAGTGCGCAGCAACACATATATATTTGTATACATGCCCAGCTGCACACTCTTCACATATGATTATGTTTGTGTGAGCTCTGGTGAGTGAGCATGCGCGTGTGTGTCTGCGTACGTCAATGTATGTACGTGCGTGTATGTATGTTTGCGTAAGTATGTGTGGCGTTCCAACGACAATTTTTCCTCCCACCCCATAAAAACACCGATATACGCAACCATATATAAATCCCAAATTTAAAAATTGATCAGTTTGTCTGACGATCGCAAATAGCGTGAAACCTAGGGTCACAAACTCACATCAATCCAACTAAATATATATATATATATATATATATATATATATATATATATATATAGCTGGTCACTCGTATTTTATGATAGCCGTCTCAATCCCTGTTGTAGATGCTTGTTCAGGCACATTTGTGTTTATTCAACACCCACATAATCCACTGGTATTTTATACTGAAACTATGCTGAGCAGACCTTAGTTACTGTTTCTGGGAAAGAGCGCATTATCTAGCATGATCAACAATTTGAACAAGGCCAGCACTCTCAAACCCTCGGCCATGATGACTTGTGACTGCGTGCTAGCACAACTATCGACAGCCCCAAGTCTTCCGTTTACACAATTTCACTGACAAGGCTTGGGTCAATCCATGGTATGGTTTTCAGGCACTTTCCAAAAGGTGCCGCCCGCTGGGATTGACCCTTCCAATCCGATAACATCAGGAAGTCTTTCCTGACACATCGACAATAGGGAGATTCGAACCCAAGTCTCATGGTCAAATTTCACACCCCTTTATCGGAGAAGCCTGAGTTTGAACTGGCGTTATTTACCGCTCGACTATAGAGAACATTACGGTGCAGCAAGGCTCTATTACCGCCTTATTCATTCTGATAATTTTTCTCAAAAGCCCATATCTACTCAGATTCTTATCCAAAACATAGAATTAATGGATTTATTCTTAATCCGATATTTTTATTACTTCAAACAGTCTTCACTCAATTCACTCATTTCGTATTTAAGAAATGTTTTAATTTGAGAAGGAATTCATAAGAAAAGCTCATTTCATTTTCATATCTGTAATGGATTTTACGCTTTGCAAAAGTGATTTGAATTCTGTCTATGCAAAGATGCAACAGTTTAAATGAGAAAGTCTTGTCTAATGGGCTTCATAAAAATAATCTTTCCAGCGGAACGTTTTAATATCGAAAATAATCGAAATATTTTTCTTTGAAAAAATTATTATTGTTTAAGTTTTAATGTCCAGAAAATATGAATAAGTGTCAAGAGATCATGTACCAATTTCTTCCTGTGTAAACCTGTTTTGAGTTCCTGGCAAAACAAGACATTTAATTCTAATTCTGCGCATCTACATGATTAACGAAACTTCGCAAGATGACCAAAATTTCGATGACGTTTTTTTTTATAAGTTCTTCGATTCTTTTAATAATTTTTTGAGCAGCCATTACTTTAATGACTTTCCTAACACGAAGAGTATTTCCATCACCCGCACCTCCTCTCTCTATTTTTCTATCTCTCTTTCTGACTATCTATTAAAAAGCTAAAAACCTGCACGTGATAAAATCATACATTAAGACAAAAAGCAAAAACAAAAAAACAGCTTTTCTGAAATGGGATGTTAAATTGCAAAGTAATAACCAAAAAAATCATTGGAAGTTGTAAGTGTCAAAAGATATATTAAACCAATGATCGACATAACTTTCTTTCTGTGGCAGTATTAGTCCTCATAAAATGGGTACTTGTGCGCATGCACACTCACACGCACACCCACCCACACATATACCCATACTTGCTTTATATATATATATATATATATATATATATATATATATATATAAAGCTATTAAACTTCATACTGTGCTCTCACTCCATTTTAGTCAGTAGATGGTTTGAGAATAAATCGATAAAAAATAATAGTTAAATTATTTTGTACGATTACTTTCTCTTTGATGTCATTGTGTTTTTTATTAATATTTAAAAATATATAAGAAACTACAAACTATAATACTACATATTTTTTGCCTTATCTATCCTATTATACATGTTACAGTTATATCATAAAATTAATATATGTAAAATCTCTAGCGAAAATCTGACTTTCCTAATGGCAATAGTAATATTAGCGATTTCCTTATATAGAAGTATTTAGCATTCATTGGCTGAGCAGCTAGCACTACTGTCAATTGAAATTTATAAAAAAATTCTATTAAAACAATCTTTCAGGAAAATAGCTTTCTCAATTCTACTTTCTTCTACTGATGGAAGCGTTCTTCCTCACCTGTTGTATTGCGGAACCTCAATGTTTTCATGATGTAATTTTCTCTTCTAGTTAAATGTGCTATCAATTTTAGTTATAGCTGCTGTTGTAAATCCTCAAGTGACGTGGTTTCTCTTATTTGGCCCGTTACTTTATTACGCCAATCGACAAGGTTCGAAGAAAGACGGTCCTCTTCAACGACTATGAGATTCATTGGCCGGAAGCCATTTTTAATCTTTGTTCCGAGAAAGCGGTTATATAAAGTTGACAGTTTATGCATCATTGAACGCGTGGAACGCCATGCATGGCATCCAAGTGATAGTCTCGATTTGAGGAGACTAATCAAGAATATAATTCGATTCCTTTGGTTAATGCTTTAGTTTTGTAGTATCTTGTGGTTTCGGACAAGACTGCCCATTCTAGGTTTAATCACCTTGTTCTCTATCATAAATTCGTATATATACAGGGTGACTGAAAAGTAACTCCCTATTTTATGTGGGAGTGGGCAGCCAGGAGTCCTGACTTAAAACCTGTAATTTTTTTCTTTGGGGCTGGTTAAAGGGTAAGCCTAATACGTTATACTAAACCAAGACTTTGGAAGAATTTGAAGGACCCATACAGGAAGTTATGTCTTCCATACAACAATATATATATATATATATATATATATATATATATATATATATATATATATATATATATATATATATATATATAGTTCTGCTAATCGATCCGTTGGTATACAATCCAGGTGGATCCTAGTAATATTAATTATTAAAACTGATCCACTCAAAGTTCGATGTATTTATTATAACAGAGCATACAGGAAAAAAATTATCTCAACATGGGGATAATCTATTTGAAGCCGGTCTGTACCATAGGGGTTGATGATAGCTGCGTACAGACCGGCGTGGATCAGTTTAAAAAATTAATAAAATTAATAAAATTTTGTTTATATATATATATATATATATATATATATATATATATATATATATATATATATATATATATATATATTATGAAATGGATAAAGTCCAGCAATTATTTTAATATATTTTTTTGTTTATACATTATTTTTTATTATTATACATACAAATATTTGAGTAAATGCGCTGTTTTTATAATAGACCGTATTAACAACATTTACCGGACTGAATATCCAAGAAATCTCAAAGAAAATATGTCCTTTGGTTCGATTCCTGTCGGAGGACATATTTTCTTTGAGATTTCACGGACATTCAGGCCGTAAATATTGATAATATTGTCTATTATAAACAAAGCATTTAGGTAGATAGATAGATAGATAGATAGATAGATAGATAGATAGATAGATAGATAGGAAGGAAGGAAGCAAGGAAGAAAGGAAGGGACAAGCATAGATAGATAGATAGATAGATAGATAGATAGATAGATAGATAGATTTATAGATAGATATCAACATAGATAGATAGATAGATAGATAGATTTATAGATAGATATCAACATAGATAGATAGATAGATAGATAGATAGATAGATAGATAGATAGATAGATATGAACATGCACAGATAGATAGGAAAGAAAGAGTAAGTATAGATAGATAGATAGATAGATAGATAGATAGATAGATAGATATGAACATGCACAGATAGATAGGAAAGAAAGAGTAAGTATAGAAAGATAGATAGATAGATAGATAGATATGAACATGCACAGATAGATAGGAAAGAAAGAGTAAGTATAGAAAGATAGATAGATAGATAGATAGATAGAACAAAGGTAAACGATTAATTATCTACGAAGCATCAACATTTTTCTTGTATACCGACATTTCTATCGTAGGTAAAACTTATGTCGTTCATTTGAATTGTTTGTTGAGAAATAAAAATGGAAAAATTCTGTCTACAATATTTTCGTTTGTTTTTCGTTATTCATTTTTTTCCGTGTTTTTATCCGTTTTTGCCGTGATACCTTTTCTTTCTTCAATTTCTTTTTCTTTCTCTTGCTTTTTCTGTCGCCATCATTTGCTTTATTATTGTATTTTTTCGTGTTTTTACATATTTTCTTTTATCTATTCACTCTATTCTATTTTCTCCATCTTTCTTGTTATTTTGTTACTCTTTCTTTCTCTCTCTCAAACTTAAACATGCTCTCTCTCTCTCTCTCTCTATCTCTCTCTCTCTCTCTCTCTCTCACACATACACTTTCTTACTATTCCTCTGTTTACATGCATGTCGAATTCCGTTCATAAATATTCTTTCTTCCTTTCTTTTCCTTTTTGTCGAATTTCCTACTTCTCTTAACTCATTTATCTTCCCCCTTTTCTTCCCTTTCTCTTTTTCTTCTTGTCTCTTTTTTTCTTTTTCTTCCTATCTCTTTTTTTTTTCATTTTCTTATTTTCTCTTTCTTTTCCCTAAGTATAAAAAGCATCAAATAGTTTATCGGTTCGCTTAATCAATGGAGTGCCGTTTTAAACAATTGATTGGTGGCGCCTTCGTCATCATATACCTTTTTTTTAAAAAAAAAAAAAACTTCGTTTACACAAAGATAAAACTTCAAAGTCAAGTACGATGAAACTGATGCCAACGTTTTATAAAAAAATGTCAAATTCAAATTCAATCTATTATTTACAAACATTCGAATATAAACTAACGCAAAAATTCAGATTAATATTTTAAAATCGAAACCCCGCAACCAATTAATACTTTTAACGGTTTTTACATAAACTATCTGAATACCCGTCCTATAAAAAAAGGAAAGATCAAATTTTAATGCAAGTTCTCCTACGCTACAGAATTCCTGTATAAACAACATTTTCAGAAAGACATCTTTTTTATAAAGTGTTATTTGTCATTATGTTATGTCCACTAATTGCCTACCCAGAACATAGCTACATAGTAATGATTCATGAGTTCAAGCGCTCGACGAGGCTGGCATCCCGCTCTCACCTCTTCACTGTCGAAACTCCTAAATATAACCATCTCTTCTACTCCAATAGCTTCGTGTCTCGCACCTCTCGCCTGTAGAACTCCCTTCCCTATTCCAGTTTCCCTGAGAGCTATAATCTCCAGCTATTCAAATGTAATGTCAATCGACATCTCCAGTGGCCTTGATCTATCCACTACCCTTCTCCTCATCCTTTCTTCTATCACTCCTATCTGATCTTACTCCAAATTTTCTGTAATCCCTTGCGTCCTAGTGGCTTCCCGCCTTGCTTGGGGTGAAACGCTTACAAAAAAAACAAACAAAAAAACAAAAATCTGAAGAATCAATAATGATAATTATTATTAATCAATCAATTAATTGATTAATTAAGCATGCTTATTTATTCACGTGTTTAAACGTGACAAAGATGAGGACGATAATCCGAACAATGTAAATAGTGTACATAATCCCCCATCTCAGAAATATAGAGAGATAGTATTTTATTTCACATGTCAGAATTGATCTCTGATAAGAACTAAAAATGCATTTCTTTAATCTCAGATGATCAAATCTAATATCTGAAATCACAACGGCTCATCCTATATTCAATAGTAAACGTAAGTTGGAATATTTTCTGGCTTTAAATAAGCTTCATAAGGTTGATAAGCCATAAAAAACAACTCAATCAATCAAACGCACGACTGTTTAACGGGACTAAATGTTATCTTACTTGTACTTCGAAGCAATCTTGATTTTTTTTATGTGAAATAAAATCAGACACATTTTGAAAAATATATCGATAAGATTCTATGAGATGAAAACTGAAATCTTCCCTATTTCTACTTAATTTGAAAATATTTTGATAAAAAATGAATATTTGAAGAAAATTCATAATTTTTCTCACCAGCCAATAAAAATTACATCGGTAAATGCTTGCAACTTTACAAAAATAAAAATGAAAAAATAAACAAGAATATTACAACAGTTTTCGAAGTGGAAAATTGATATTGAGGAAAATTCAGCGAATTTTGTTCTACCCACTGAAAATGTTTTAATTTCGTTTATGATATACCGTAAAATTAAATTCATTTCAGTTTACATTTAATTTTATCTATTGTCTTTCCATAGATTATATAATACATACATACATACATGCATA